AAGTGAGCCCACACAAATCTCACAAAGTTTCATGTTTAATGAATAAAAGAGAGAATGTTGAAAATGAGAAGGTGAAGATCTTGTGGGACTTTCAAACATAGACGGATCATCATTTGGAACACAATCCGTCAGATATCAGAGCTGTCGAAAACGGAAGCGTACCATTTATTAATATCGCTCTACCAGGAGACACCAGAGTCGAAGAAAAAGAACTGATAAAAATCACGAACTATCGTGACCTGGCCATTGAAACGATGCAATTATGGAAGAAACATGTAACGGTAATACCCATTGTCATTGGGGCACTTGGTACCATGTTCAAGAATTTTACAAAATACATCAAAAGAAATTGCAGTTTCCTGTAATAACACCAGCGGAACTGCAAAAAACTGCGCCACTCAGAACTTCATATATTTTAAGAAGATACTTGGTTGTCATCTAGGATTCTGGCAGCAACCCATATCAACCATCAGCACCAGTCAATGGTATTTGTGATGCATTTTTTAATGTTCAGTTGACTCAGTTTCATATTTAATGAATAAAAGAGATAATAATAATAATAGCAAAAGACAATTTTACTTGAAATAACTTACCTCCTGCAGAAATTTTGAAGATACAATTTCTGAATGCCCACTCTTCCCAGAATAGTCCATGAATGAGCAGATAAACTGTCCAATATATGCTGTACTAGAAACACTTCAGTATAGTATAAATATTCCCTTCTATGCCTTTGATCTTATAATTAACTCAGATACAGTTTTATCTAAAAAGATGCTAATTTCTTCATATAAATCTTTAAAACATCTTTAAAACAGTTTCATTAAAACATTTCACTTGGAGTTGTTGAATAGTTCCTATAGTTCCTATAGCCTTGTTCAGCCTGACAAACTTGTCATGTATACATATTACTAGAATTCAAATTATTTATGGCTTTTAACCATGCTAACTGGAATTCTGGATATTGCAACCCCAACACATCTTAAATATCGCAATTTGGGGGAAGGCAGGCGTTAAATTTCTAAAACCTTTAAGATGATGGGTATTTTTTAAAAAAAATTCATACTCACATAGTAAGTAGTGCTCAAGAGAAGAATACAAAGAAGATTGTTCTTTATTATACAAAAACAATGCTATATGAAATATATTTTACCCTTAAGCATTTATGAATTTTGAACGCATTCTATTAATTCATTAAAAAAGTTGCTGTATCATCATCAAGTAATTTTAAAACTTACTTAGCTACAATGCCAGTATAAATAGCCTTTTCTGCTCTGTATGATCTTTCGACCCTCCCAAGATCCTCCAATTGGGACCAAATAGTGGTTTAACTGCATAAGTTGCAGTGATCTGGGCACCCGATGATCGTCAGACTGCAATGGCTATTTTCATTTGAGGACAGATCTGTTTGTCAGCCTTCAAGATCTTCTACTACTGCTTTGCATCTTTTGGCTGCCATAAGTAACGGGGGGGGAGGAGGGGGGATAATGTCTGGGAAGAGAGCTGGAGGTGTTACATTCTTGTGTTGTGTAAATGAGGAGTGAGGGGGGGGAGTATAAATTCCTGCTCTTAGGTTTCTATTTCTCGCTTGGCTTTCTTTTCTCTGCGCAGCTGCAAACCTTTATCAAAATATGCCAAGGTCAACGGACAGAGGCCTCATCACCACCTGGAGATGTCCACATGATCATATTCACAACTTTTAATTGGAAGAATCTTTTGAACTATGGGGGGGGGGGGACATTTCCATCACTTTGTATATCTGATTTGCGCGCCTTATTTCTCAGATTCAGAATTCTATTGATGTTACCACTTCATTTTCAGTAAAAGACATCTTTGCTCTAATCTAAAGAGTCTAAGTTTTCTTTCTTGAATTTTGAATGGAGCATCACCTGACACTGTTATTGAATCTGAACCTTCTCATTGTACTTTCTCATTATAACATTTTATGAAGCAGCAACAATCCCTGTCCCTTGGCATGGCTGATGCGGTGCTAGTTAAAAAAATACGAGCGCTCCTGAGCATTAAATCAGGGCCAGAGGTTCAGAGGGCAGTGATTCAAGACCAGGGTGAGCTTTTTGGTGCCAGCTAACAAGATAGCAACCTGGAAGTCTGCCAGTCTGGTTTTATGAGACTTGGGCAGAACTGTTAAAAAGAAAAGATTGCTTTTAGGTACGTTATAATCTTCCATTCCATTTATCCCAGGAGTGAAGTTTTCTCTGGACCAGTTCTTAGTGAGAAAAGGATGAAGTTCTGTAGTAGAAAACTTAAGTTTGTTTTTATGCCTGAATGCAATCATACTGAAAGTATTAAGAATTTCATATTTTTCAGATTTCATATTTTGCTTACCAAGAGTCTATTAGTGTTGTTATGAGGCAGAATCACCCTTTGCTACTTCTAGCAAGCTAGTTTAATAAAGCATGCTGTAATTAACAGCTCACGGTGGACTGGAGTCTGTCTATAAGTTTTAGTGTTTATCTGTGTTTGTCATGGAGTCTGATTTATTTGTAATCTAAGTCGTAAAGTGGTTTAGGCCTTTGAGAAACAGGCATATAGTTTTTTTCCTTTTATTACCCAGATATGATTATTTCTGCCATTTACATTATTTATAGAATGGAATATCAATGGCTGGACATAGTATAAATATTAATTATTACCATACACATTAATTTTTGTAATATTCTCAAATTATTTAATAAATATTTTATCATCCAACTCATTCAATGTAAAGAATTAGGATTCTTATAAATTTCCTTTATGATACAAAATCAATAAATTTTAAATTAAAGTTACTGCTATTTCTTATTACAATCCATATAAGCAATAAATAAATGATACAATCTTATACTGTGTATTGCAATTTGGGTTAATTTAAAGCAACATAAGCATTTTCTCTGAAACTTAAATGGAGTCTAAAAAGCATCAGGCTTCCTTAATTTGGATGCTAGTTGATCAAATACCACAAAGACCCAGATAATGTATTGGCATATAGAGAACATTAAATATTTTGAAGTGAATTATGTGGCAAATCAGTAACCAGTGAATGTATTATTAGTGTTGCATAGGTAAATTTGCTTTTTTGGGACCATTAGAATTTCCAAATCATCTTTAACCCTGTGTTGAGGGTTTTGCAATAGTTTAGACCTAAGATAGCACGATTAGTTGTCAGGGTTTTTAGTCAAAAAGACTTTCACCAATTGAAGCTAAATTGACATGGAAAAGAAATATGGGTGGGGGGGAGAATCTGAGAGTGGGTCACAGCCAAAAGTCGAAATAGTTTTGTGGTATGGCAATAATATTCAAGAGGATCTTGGATTTATACTCTTGACTTATACTTTTAGAAGTCTATTTTTATAAATTATGTGTCTTTTTGTTAGTTTTCTTATTATATTTGTCAATAATTTCAAGAGTATTATATCCAAGGGCTCTGGGACCACAAACAAAGGAGTTTGAAGATCATATGCAATATATGCCATTTGCTTCCCCTTTAAATAACATTAAAAGAATTAACTTGGAGGCATCTCCCCTGTCAATCTCTAGGCTTAGAAAGTTCCAACTTATAAAGTCATATTTGTTATAACTGGAGCTGAATTCATTAAGAAATGATGTCTCATCCAGAAATAACTGACTTGGTCGCAAGCTACATAAATAAAACTTAATCAATGTAATAGAAAGGTTCTAGAAAATAGATTACACTGAGATATGGCTCCGGCTTGAGCCAAAAGTAATTACTGTCAGATCTTTATTTATCAGACCACTAATACATAAACTCAGTGGGGTAACAGACATGGCAGATGGTATTTTTGTTACCTAGAAGTTGCCTGAAATATAATTAAAGACAGCAGATGGGCTAGAATTGGAAATGGAATAAATAATGTGCAAGGAGTATAATTTTATTTATTATGTTCATTGCTCACTTCCTTCATCTCTGTCAACAAATTGTCCAATGCTGTTGTCTAAATCAGAGATCAATAGTTTTTACTTTGCCAAACATCCAGGTCAGGCTTTAACAAGGGAAACTTAAAGTCACCTTGAATTAGAATTAGATTAGTAAAAAGGGAGACAATGTCAAGCAATATTCTAATCACACCATCATATTGTTTAATTTAAAAAGTATATAAAATGTTGTAAAAGGGGAAATGGGCATTTGTGAGGTAAAAAACGAGAGAGAGAGAGAGGGAGAGATAGAGGAGGAGGATACCCTGGTGGCACCACTCAGGCCAAGGTGTTCTGGGATGCCAACTCTATGGTTTGGCCAATGGGTGTTAGGTTATTTTAGGTTGGATTGAACACTTTAGGTTGAACTGAACGGACTATTAAGCTTCTCTTGTTCATGGAAAATCTCCTGCAGCCCAGGCTAAGCATATATGTGGTGTTCAGTGCCCTGGTCTTGCTAGACAGTGCCCTCAGCTCTGATGATGTTGCAGACTGGGAAAAGTGATATGGAGGGCCACATGTTGAAACCACTGGTTTAAGACTTGCTTAGTATTTCTTCAGTGTTACTATTACGTGAACAGTTAATCAAGAAGAAGGAAAGAAACAGCAACTGCAGCAGCTACATACTTTACAAAAAAGATCCAGAGAACAGATGAAAAGCAGAAATGTGGAACATTTTGTAACGAGTAAAACTCATTTTTTAAATTATAAGTGTTCAATAATTTGAAACTGTTTCCTCTGCACATATGGTTATGCATCTTAAATTGTACTAAAGTTTATAATTTGTATTTATATATGTATAAGCTACATCTGCTTTGATAAGACAAGTGAGTCTATTCAAATTTTTAAAACTCTATTCTCGATTTTCTCTGTACTTTCCACGTGCTTTCCGTTTCAAAAGCTTATCAACCCTTTAGATAATTGGTTTCATTATCACATTGCTCTAATTAAGATTATTTTCTTTCTGAGCTCTTTTGATCTGTGGTTTCCTGCATAGAGATCTGCTTATATCAGGGTGAGGAAATCTAGAGTTTTGGTCCTATTTTACCAAAACGGGGATGTGGAATCTCCTGCTTTATTAAAATCACACATTACCACTTTATTACATTACACATTACTGATCTGTTCCCACTATTTCTATGCAATTTGCTCCTGCGTTCTTTTCTTTTGGATCTGTACAATACCTGTAGAACTAATTACAATCCCCTTATACTTCAATCAAATATTTCAGTCAAAGAGCCATGGTGAGTTCTCTGCACAACTATACATAGCCTCAGATATTATTTTTTTTAATCCATATATTCTACACTTCTTATATAAAAAATCTATAATACTATAAACAATATTTCCCAGATGATATTGCATAGGCCTGCTTAACTTCAGGAAGCCACTTGAATGTGAGTCTCAACATAGCACACATAGCTAGATGTTTATGGATTTACTGTCAGCCTGTAAGAAAACAAAACTCTCAAATAATTCAGGACCAGTCCAGTAATGAAAAATTTAGGAGGGGTCCTCCAATTTTTTTTTTAATATAAATCTGTGTACTGAAAGAAACTAAGAATGGGAAAAGAAATGTAGAGGGTAAGTATATTTTATTTCTTTACATTTTTCAAATATTTCCTTCCCTTCCCAACAAGGTAACAGCCACAAGATAAAAAAATATTACAGCATCAAAACTTTTGAAAAACGCTTGATATCTAACTGTCCACACTTAAGCTTTTTTTTTTAAAAAAATGGGTTTCTTATTTTAAGCAATGAAGACAGACCACAGTGAATATTCTTCATTAAAAATATTCCTCCCAAAGTTTCTGTTTTTATGGTGAGAACAAAGACATAAGTGATGCCTCCAAAGATCAGGAGCAATCTTGAACGTCTTACATGTATTAACTCGTGGTGCCATCTGCTGGGTCAAGAGGTGTTTCTTCACACTTTAGAAAAAGCTGTAGAGAGGGATCCAGCCAAAATAATGCAGAATGCTATTAAGAGCAGCAGATAGTTTTTTAGTCCCTGCATAGGCATTATGGGATGGAAAAGGGAAAACAAGAAGAGAAATAACGTTATTTTCTAGAAACTGAAAACAGTATTAGCATGTTTGACAATTAATAAATTTCTGGTACAGATATATATGCACTAGAATACATTTTATAAGATCATTAGAATTAGAATAACTTTATTGTCATTGTACAAGTGCAACAAAACTATGGATGCACCCCAGCAACTGTTCGCAATACAATAAAAGCAAAGCACTTAAAAATGAAGATAAGCAAGATAAAGTACCCACGTCTCCATTTGCAATTTGAGAGTACAATATCTACAAATATACACAAAATATACATCCAACACGGACTGTAATGCTTAGCCGAGTATAATACGTAAGAGATGGATTGTACTGTAATATGTTATTATACATCTGAATGGGGTATTGAGATTTCACATCTTTTCACATCTTGATGAGGTAGTGACTTCGTGTTTATTTGCGGTTCAGGTGGCCCAGGGAAAGAAACTATTTGTTAGTCTGGTGGTGTGGGATTTTATTGACCTAAAACGCCATCCAGACAGAAGCAGGTCAAAAAGATAATTGCCAGGATGTGAGGGGTCTTCTATAATGGCCTTGATTCTGCTTTGGCAGCGGGACCTGGCTAAATCTTCCAGGGAGGGCAGAGGGCCACCAATGATCTTTTGAGCTGTGTTTATCACCCTCTGTACAGTTTTCCTGTCCTCAGCTGAGGAACCTGTATACCACACACCCAGACAGTATGTCAGAGTGCTCTCCACAGAGGCTTTATAGAAAGCCAGCAACAGCTTCTTATCCAGATTGTTCTTCCTGAGAACCCGCAGGAAGTGCAGCCGCTGTTGAGCCTTCTTCACTATGGCCGTGGTGTTAGGGGACCAGGAGATATCAGCTGAAATATGGGTGCCAAGGAATCTGATCATAGGGACAGTTTCCACTCGTTCTCCGTTGATGATGAGTGGGGCGTGGTTCTGTCCATGTTTCCTGAAGTCCATAATCAGTTCTTTGGTTTTATGGACATTCAGTGACAGATTGTTCTGTGAACACCAGATAGACAGGTTCTCTACTTCTATTAGTGGAAAGATTATTATCACCTCTTTTTTAAAAATGGCATACACATTTTAGGGCCACATTTAACTTTCTGAAGGTGCACTTCTAAAAGTAATGGGTAGAAATAGGCCATAAATTAAATTCTAATGAATTTCATTTACGCTGAAATGAGATTAAACATAAACCTCTTAATACAATTATTTCTCAGACATGAACATAATTTTCCCTACATGTCATGTTCAAAATAACAAATGTCTCGCTTATCAACATAAATTTTGAGCTCAACTGTGGTTTTAAGTGGAGGAGTACCTGTACTAAAATTCTAGACAAAATGGAAGATAACAGATAACAGATAATCAAGAGTTGGAAGGGAACTTATAGGTCATCTAGTCCAGCACTCCACCCAAGTGGGAGACCCTACACCATTTCTGACAAATGGCAGTCCAATCTCTTCTTGAAGGTCTCAAGTGATAGACAGACATGCAACCCAATTATCTAATTTGCTGTCCCCATTTATTAAAACCACACTAAATATCATAGGAAAAGATGAAGGTACTGTGTGCAGGGCAACATTGCTTTCATTTGTTCTTCATACCTTTATTTCTTTAAACACCAGCACTCCCCACACTGCAGCTATAAAACCAGGACCCTAGAAAACAAATTTGATGAACAGTAACTATGAATAGCAATGCCAGATAGGAGAACCAGGAAAAAATAATAGGAATGATCTGTTCTGCTAGCTTGTCATAGATTGGAGCCAACTGTTTTGCATAAGGAGACCCATTTACATAAAGCAAAGCCAGATGAAAGTCAATTTTAAAATTTGAGATCAAGTAATATTCTCCCAAGGAATAACATAGCATGCAATGCATTGCACAGAAGAGTCCTTAAAAGCAGCATGAAACTTCCATAAAGGAGATGCTCGCCAAGTGCTTCTCTCCCTTTTATTAACCAAGAATTTCTCTGATACTTACAGCAGTGATTATTGGGAAGCTCACAACAGCGCTGAGATAATGGTTTGCTATAAACCAGCAGCAATTGGCTATTGCCCATAATGTGCCAGAAATAAACCCTGACAAGGAAAAGAATAAAAGATTACTATAGCATTACACCCTGGAGAGGTCCTGAATATTTTTGCCAGCATGCCATGCTCCTTCAACGACACATGGAGTTCATGGAGCTCTTCAAATATCTTTGGGATTTCCTTCTTTGATTTCTTTTCCTTATTATTTGTAGGAGGGAAGAAGATACTTCTGCGGATCCTGATCTTTCTCTGTGCACACACATATCCTCTGTCAGATCAATGCTATCTGGAGAAAGGATATTATTTATATACACAGAATTTAAGCTAGAAAAGCTATGTAAGGCTGGAGGGCAATTCCAAAGATAAAGAAGCAGTTTATATTGAATCTTGAGGCCATATTTAAAATATAGTACCATGTTTCTCATATAATAAGGCCGGGTCTTATTTTTTTTTGAGCCCCGAAAAAATGCCTAGGCCGTCTTTTCAGGGGTGACTTAATTCCCCCCCCCTTGCATCTTCGGGCAGGCGGGCGGCGACGGCTTGGATGTTGACCTCGGCGTTGGCGGGGCACTTCGTATCGGGGTCAATGCAGGCAGCACCATATCCGGGTATGCAACAAAAATACTTCCTAACAGCAAGCCCCCCCCCATGATTCCCATTTTGCATGTTTTAATATAGGCCTTAATTTGGGGGAGGGGCTTAATTTCATTTCATGCCTATAAAACATGCTGGGACTTCCTATTGGGGGAGGCTATATTGTTGGAGAAACAGGGTACAGAATTGTGGCTTTCATGTATTTATATGCATGATTTAGTTCTGATCCTTAAAATGAACTTGTATTAGTCTTCCAATCAAGTGAAATAAAAATTTTGCTTGTTTTCTCTGTTGTTTCCAATGTTTGACATTAGAACAAGCAAAGAATTAATATTTCTGAAGTCTAACTCCAGCAGACTGAGCTAAAGGGATTTATTTTTCTACTTACTTTATATCTTTTCTTTATGAACACTGAACTAACACACTACATTAAATTAAAATTCAATTAAGAATATTGGTATTTGATCTCAGAAGACACTAAAATCATGCCCAGAATAGCAGGCATCATTAAAAGGTACTTACTGACAAGATACATATTCCAAATAGATTATAAACAGGGGTGGGATTCAAATTCAAATTTCTTAACATCTGTTTCTACTGAAACGTCACTACAACTTTAAAAGCACAACTCCTATGACGTGGGAAAATACCCGAGCAAGGCCGAATGCCATACATGTAAGTACCCGCGAAAACTTAAGAAAATATATATATATATATATTTATTTTCAACTTTAACTTTTACCCAGAATAAGGCAAAGCAGATTGAGCTCCTTGCAGAATCACAGATTCACTCAGAGATCTACCTTTCTGCAATCTGCTGCCTGAGTCTGCACTGAAAAATAGAAGCTTCAGTCCTAAGGAAGGTTCGGCTCTGCTCTCAGGCCACATCTCTCCCACCCTCCCAATCCCCTGAATACCACCCCTGACTGGGCCTCAGGGAAGCCTCCTGGGCGAAGGCAAAGCAGTACAACAGCAATTTAGATTAGCTAGAAAGCAGAAATCTGACAGAAGGGGGGAAGGGGCCAGTCAGTGGCGCGATTTGCCGGTTCTCCAAACTGCACAGAATCATAACAACCGGTTCTATAGAACTGGTTGTGAACTGGTAGAATCCCACCCTATTATAAATTTGAATAAGGCCTTTGCATTTTCTTGAAACTTATACCTGGTATTATGGCTCTAGGATAAACCTTAGGGTTATTTTTCATTGCTGCACAGTAGAGGAGAAAGTAGACAGTGCTTGTAAGGAAGATACCACTGAAGTGGGCAAATACATAATCTAAATCTGAAATAAATATCAAAAGATATACAACATATTTAAAACATATGTTCAGGAAGTTCACCAATGTTATTCAACGATCTGATTATTTAGGCAAGGTCTCATGTTGCAATCATTCAGTTTATTAAGTGGGAGATTTTTGTTCTAATTAGTCAACATTTTCATATCTGTATCAAAACTAAGCCATATAAATAGAAGACCCATAAAAGCCAGAAGTACCCTTGGTCACAAGACTTAAGAGTAAAAATAATATCCCATTCCTATTATTACAACGTTTTCAGAAAATTGTAAAGCAAAAAAAGAACATCTAGCAGCAAATAATATGGCCTTCAGAATATTAAATGTAACACAATAAATTTAGGATCAAACCAAATAATATATATTTATTTTTCTAAGTAAACAATTTATTTTAGGACAAAAAATTCTGCTAAAAGTTCTCTGAAATTACTTCTGAGGCAAGTAGCATGAGAAATATAAAAAGAAACATATGTAAAAAATCTCCCTCCACCCCGCCTTCTTTATACCATAAACAGCCACAGTTCTCTTCTAGGATATACAGCATGACTTTCAGAAGAAGTCATTTGCTTTTACCAAATTGACTAGCTCCTGTATATATAGTCCCATTTCTTCTGCCATGGTCCTTGATGTAAAACACAGGTACAAAACTGGAGCCATAGAATATCCCAGCGATCATAGCCAGAAAGCAGCCTCTGGCAGGAAAAAAAGACAAATATTTTAAGTTGGCTTAATCACAACATTAAGTGCACATGAATACAACACTGTTGGAGAACAGCTACTGATTTTCAGAAATTATTATCTATGAGGAAACAGCAAAAAGTTCTTGACTGCAACCAAATGTTGAGCTTACCAATTATTTTTGTCTAACAGCTATCACAAAACGCAAGAGAGGGAATAAGATGGGATAGAAAGATGCCCTGAACTTACACCATTCTTTTTCCCAATGGAGAAAGGTTGTCCACCCAAGATACATCACTCCTGTTTTCGACTCTGTACTCAGAACTGTTGATAGACTGTTGATGAAAATAAAAACATTTATTTTTTTTAAGATTTCCAAAAGGATTTGAATGCATTTAAACTTGGATTCAGTTTACGTCTGATGGACAGAACTCTACCTAAGTGAATTAAGTGGTACAATGAAAACTTATTTTGTTTTGAAAATCCAGATCAGCAAATTCTCCTGCTTCTTAAAGACTTGATATCACCATTTACTATAATTAGGCAAATCATACGTTCTTTTGTAACTTTTCATTTCAAATTGCAAATCAATGCACATCTTTCTAAATGAAACATAAGGAGGCACCAATTGAATTAAACGGTTAATATGCCTTTTGTAAAAAATAATAATAAGTTGGTTATACATTAATGGAAGAAAGAACTGCCTCAACTTGTTCCCAAAATAGTTCGAGGTAAAATTTATTAACACATATTCTCTTACATTATACAGATGCAAGGTAAGTGCTGTGGGGCACAGTGGTTAGAATGCAGTATTGCAGGTGAACTCTGCTCCCTGCCAGGAGTTTCAGTTCTGACCAGCTCAAGGTTTCAAGATTGGGAAAATCAAGACCCAGATTACTGGAGGCAATATTTTCACTCTGTAAACTGCTTAGAGATGGCTGTAAAGTACCATGAAATGGTATATAAGTCTAAGTGCTATTGCTATTAGTTGTGTCCCTAAACACAGGGTGGGATTCTATTAGTTCGCACCTATTCGCTAGAACCGGTTATTAACATTCTAAGCAGTCCGGAGAACCGGTTGTTAGAAGAAATTACTGGCCTAATCCTGTAAGGAAGGCAGGAAGAAAACATTCTGGTGTTTCTTACAGAAACTGCCTCTCTGTTAACGCTTATTACATTCTTGGCAGGACTAGACTTCCTGTCTCAGGAACTTCTCTGGAGTTTTTTCCCCACTCCTTTGCTGGTACTTTGCTTGTGTGGAGTGACCATTCAAAATTACAATGGCACTGAAAAAAGGGACTTATGACCATTTTTCACACTTACGACTGTTGCAGCATCACCAGCATTATGAGGGGCCAGGCGAGGAGATGTGTGCCTCGATGTGAGTGATATTGAGTTGGCCACGCCCAGCCAATAACATGACCACCAAGCCATGCCCACCAACTAAGCCACGCCCACAGAACCAGTTGTTAAAAAATTTGAATCCCACCCCTGCCTAAACACAATTTGGTAGCTCTTTTTCCTTTTCTGATGCTGTTCAACTATCCACAGCCACTGTTATTCAGCCCAACTGTAATGGTATTACATAAATACAATTAATATGCACTATCAATCCTTTCCATTCCTGGGACTAGAGTACTGCCTTCCACATCTCTTGTACAAATGGTGTTAGAGTTCCTATTATGCCTGGGAATCAAATGAAAACATACTATACTGGCAGGAAGCAGAATGTTATCCTTGCAGCCAAAAGATGTTGAGAACACAGAACTGGCTATTCTCAATTTTGGCCACTTCTCCTAGTAAGGCTTTTCTGAAACTAGCATAGTGCAACGTCTTCATGCCTTACAAATTTGTAGAGATCATGGTTCCAATCCCTATTCAACCGTAAAGCTCCTGGGATGATATTGGGCCACTTACTATTTTTCAGTATTGATTATTTCATATCATTATTGTTACATGTAAAACAAGAAAGAGGAAAATAATATAAATTTTGGATAAAAAAGCTATGATACTAACGCTAATATTTATTTAAATTAATCAATTAATATAGTACTAGTTTATGATAGTTTTCAATGCTGTCTGCTTTCTACAATCTTTTTTTTTTTAGTTCTGAAAAGAAACACTATGTTCTTGAAGCTTGTTTAACAGAATTTAGAGGACAAGGTAGTCACCTGTCAAATATCCAACAGAACAAACAGATGCTTTCAGAGATAACGCCAGCTGTTAGGCATGTACCCATTTCATGCACATACAGCCTTTGATAAATATGTAATCTAACTTTTAAAAAGTTCTGTTTGAATAGATCTATAACAGTGAAAATCAGCAGTCTGAAACAGATTCCCACAAGGGAAAAGAAAGTTTGCACCTTACAGGGTTTATCACAAAGCTTTGCAGTAAGTGGTTGGAAAAACTCCATATTAATATTTATTGCACAACAAAGGCATACATTTACTGGGGTGATACCCAGTGTCATGCGATGGTACTTTTACATCATTTAAAATCTTTGCTGATTGAGGAATCCTGGAAGCTGAAGTCAACTTATCTTAAAGTAGTTGATGCTGAGACACATTTTTTTTTATCCTTTCTCCACAGTATCTCTGAGGTCAAGGATACTATCTGTGCCAATCCTGTAGCCGAAACAAACTTGATAGCTTTTAGCCACCATCTTGAAAACTGTAATAATAATAAAAAGAAACATACCTGTTCTCTTAATAACGGACTGCTTTCTGAAGATAGTGAAGAGTTTTCAACTTCACTTTTTATGAAAAGAAATATGATACAGCTGCAAAGAGAGAACATCAATAGTCATCCACATAAGGAGTATATGTTTGAACTAACTGGTGTTTTTCTCTTTACTTGCTGTGGTATATTATCCTTTACTGTTTAAAGAAAAGCATATTTAGATGTTTTCTGAACATTAGTAATTTTAAAACAATCCAATATTTATTTTCTTGGAACATATACAGGAATCTAGTGGAATATCCTTGCTAGTAAAGCATGCTTAGATTGTAGCTTAGGTAACAAAAATAAAATTCACCTGATTTTGAATGATTACTTACAGATATTTTAAAATCAGACTACCATAACCATTAAGAGAATGATAATGTTTTCAAAAACCTAAATAGTGAAAGTGCTGCTCCAATATAATTCAAAACTGGTTTTCTGACTTCTTCTGGGTCAATTCCAAACCAGCCAAATCTATGAAAGATAGATTAAAAACATGTATTATTTTCTCCAAGTTTCACAATGACTTTTTAGCTATAGAAATGAAATTAGCATAGGGAAAGAATGGGGGAAAAAAAGCTCTGTGTGTCTGTACCTCTGCTTGTAATGAATTGTGCAAGAGGATTTATATTCTCTTGCTCAGAACATCAGATTTTTAAATATTAGCGTACTGGTTATATTTGAATGTAATTTATTCCATATTTATTTGCTTCTATGGCGGCTCGAAGAAGTTATAGCCTTTTGACAGATTAGGTCTTCTCGTCCCGATCTTCCCACCATTAAATTGGATACGTTTACCATAAATAAGAGCATGTAGAAATGCTAATAGACATTAAGCGCTTAATAAATGCCGGCCCCTTAGAGGCAATTATATGTTTGTATTGTAGAAGAATTTTAAAATGTTTAAAAAATTAGATCAGAGATTGCAACATTGACTCCTTGAATGTTGTTGAACTTTAGTTCTCACTGTGCACCATTAACGGCAGCTTGATTATTCCTGCTACATGCAGTTATACAAATAAATGCTTTCTGATGTTGAATTTTTAGAGGACCACAGACTGTCCATCCTTGATGGTTGCCTGCTGGAGAGATTTATTTGTATATCTTCATGTAGCAGGAATGTAGTCAAGTTATGGTGTTTCCCTAATTAATGATTTCATTGTGTTTGTAATGTAATAGGTAGGTAGGTAGGTAGGTAGGTAGATAGATAGATAGATAGATAGATAGATAGATAGATAGATAGATAG